GCATTGTGGGACCCGGGCCGTACCGGGCCACCAGGCTGGTGAGTGAGCATGAGGGGGCCTCCGGTCCCCGATCCCCCGGCCTTCCCGCCGATGGGTCAGTCTTCGCTTCTGGAGCGCAGGCCGGGCCGGGGTTTGGGGGCGGGACGTGTTTGGGCCGGCGTGGACGTTGCTCAAAGAACGGAGAAGGGGTCCCGGAGCCCAGGCCGTCGGGGGCGCAGCTTCGTTCCCGAGATCTCGGAGGTGTTCTGGGCCATCAGTGGCACCTCCCACTTTGAAGAGCCCGGAGGACCAGGTGACCCCCTCTCCCAGCCTGTTTGTCCCGAGTAATCCTTCGCCTGCTGCCGGGAGCGGGGAAAACCCATTTCTAACCGTAGGGACCGCCCTGCAGTGCGGGCAGGGTGTGTCTCCGTCCTGAGAGTCACTGGTGGTGACAACTTGAGGTTCTTTCTAACGGTGCCCAGACCAGAGGTGGATCGCCCTGACCACATTTCCGGTCCCTGGCGTTTCTGTTTTTTTTTTTTTTTGTCATCATTAACATAAATGAGGGGCTGGGCTGGGTGGTCTGAAAGAGCCTTTGCAGACCCTGATGGCCCAGGATGCTGCCTTTTCTCCTGGGAGAAGAGCTTCGGTATTGGGAGCCCTCAGGGGTTCTTATTTTGATTTCTTTTATGACCTGGAGCAGGTGATTATAGTGATTTGTGTTTCAGAGGATTACCATAAAGGAAGGAGTGATGACAGTTTGGTATGTTCATGGCAGGGTTTTAGGCGGCTTTCTATGAAAGCGTACTGGTAATTTGGGAGGAAGGGACCTTCCTCTTGGGTCTGGCACCACTTCTGGTCACTTCTGGGGAATTAGTCTCCTTGTTCTGTGCACCCTAATGGATATCCAGGAAAAGATGGGAATTAAGTTCAACCTCTAATTCAGCTAGTTACTAGGCTTGTATATGTGGAAGAGATGAGGACAGTGGCACAGGGGGAGCTATAATTAGGGTTTCCTTTTCTTTCGGGAACCAGTGTCACAATGGCCGGTGGGGTCAAGCCAGAGCTAAGAAAGCCAGCTTCTAAGAGAAATCGTGGTTGGGGCAGATGGTTGTTTAATTTTTTATTTGGCTCATAGACCACTTTGAGAATCTCCTTTTTATAGAATAGTGCTCATGCCACATACTCATGAAATTAAACATATGATTTCAGAAGACTTGGGGAGTCTGTGGCATTGTTTCGTTTGGCTTAACCATTTACTTGCCCACAATTTTGCGAGTCAGCAATCTGGCCTGGGCTTATGTCAGTGGCTTTATTGTTGGGGCCACTCATGTGCCACGATCATCTAGTGACTTGACTAGGACAGGAAGACCCCTTGACTTAGTTCTGGCTGTTAGCTGGGCCAAGTATCTTCACATAGTGGTTCAACATAACCAAAAGAAGGTTTCTGCCTATAACTTTTTGTTTAGACCTCATTGGTCAGAGCAAGTCAGCTAATTCCAGATTGTAGAAATTCAGCTCCACTTTTCTTTTTTGTTAAATTTTTTTTTCCAATTACAGTTGACATTTAATATTTCAGTTATACAACATAGTGGGTAGACATTTATATAACTTATGAAGTGATCCCCTTCCTGGAAGTCTAGTACCCATCTGACACCATACATAGTTATTACATTATTATTGACTATATTCCCTATTCAGTTCCACTTCTTTTTTTAAATCTTTACCTGAGGATATTTTGGCCATTGCTTTTCAGAGAGATTGGAAAGGAGGGA